CATAATTTTGGTGGATCTCGATGTAAATCGCGATTATGAAAGAATGCGGAATATTCGCCGCCATAAGTGCAATTTTACTTACCTTTGTTAAGGAAGTCATTGTGGATTAATTCTAGGTAGGCAATAAAAAAGTTGTATCAATCAATGTAAGGGCTTTTGTATTGTGGTATTTTGGAAAAATTACGTAGTGTAATTGTATGTCTACCTTCAAAGCTTAACATTTCATTTAATAAACTTTCTGAAAAAAGGGTGAAAGCACCTTTCGGAGTTGAATTGAATCCCATCCAAGCAGTTACTAATTTATCTGCCCTGCCCACATATAGTATAAGGACTCGTATTATTGCTACATAGTACAGCACATATTCCTAGATTACAATTGATTTACGTATTTCCAACTGGACATTCATCTCTTTGTCTGAACAGACCTGTTCAGACTTTTCAAATAGTTGGTTATGCAAGATGAACCAAAGTTACCGGCGATGGTTTCCTTGAGTGCCAGAAAGATACTAAAGTGCGGTTCATAATTATACGAACACTCAAGATTTTGTGAGTTTTCGGACTTTTTGGGAGAAACTCAAAAAGCCGTTGGTACCACGTGATAGAACACGACTGAAAACGGTATGTGATCCATAAGGATGAAAATTGATGTCAATCTTAGGAGTGTTTTTGCGTTTAATGCGAATTTCTAGCGGTTCATAATTATACGAACACCTTAAACAAAGGTATTTTTCATTCAAGATTGCAATCACTTGGGTCCAAATTTTTTGCAGAGTTGCAGTAACAAAGCCTGACAAATCTGCTACACATCGAAACCAGTGCAGCTCAAAAAGAGGACCGTTACTTTTTTCAGAAGGCTCTAAATGCTTTTGGAGTGAATGCGCTCCAAAAACATCCGTTCTTCTGTGGTTTACGCGCTCTAAATAGCTTCTACCAAAGCTATGAGATAAAATAAGCTCTTGCGATAGGTATTTTGTTTAACGCTTGAAAAATCTTTGTGTTTTCGTGCCGTTTTTCAACCAAGTTCCAACTTTACCATAGAGTTAGCACGATTCCACGCCTCAAAACTCAGCTTCTCTCTTGCGCAAACATTTGATATGAAGCAGCTGCATTGTTTGCATGATGATGTTTCTGTGCCAAAGTTTTTGGGTTTTTTGTAGAACTGATCTTGAGGCTGTGGGCCTACAAACCAGTTAAAGGTGTGATTGCAGTAGTAAGAACAGTGTTTTTGGTGAAATGACGTCTATGTGGCCAAAACAAACACTCAAGGCTGCTGATTTTTTCTAGCCAAATATACAGTCTTGTGAACTCCTACATACTATATGCTTACTTCGTTGTGCGGCTACAGAAGCTGAGTTTTGAGGCTCGAAATCGTGCTAATTCTGTGGTAAGGTTGGAACTTGGCTGAAAAACGGCATAAAAACGCAAAGATTTTCCAAGCGTCAAACAAAATACCTATCGAAAGAGCTTATTTTATCTCATAGCTTTGGTAGAAGCTATTTAGAGCGCGTAAACCAGAGAAGAACGGATGTTTTTGGAGCGCATTCACTCCAAAAGCATTTAGAGCCTTCTGAAAAAAGTAACGGTCCTCTTTTTGAACTGCACTGGGTTTAATGTATAGCAGATATGTCAGACTTCGTTACTGTAACTCTACAAAAATTTGGACTCAAATGATTGCAATCTTGATTGAAAAATGGACCTTTGTTTGAGGTGTTCGTATAATTATGAACCGCTGAAAATTCGCACTAGGCACAAAAACACTCCTATGATTGACATCAATTTTCATCCTTATGGTTCACATACCGTTTTCGGCCGTGTTCTATCACGTGTTACCAACGGCTTTTTGAGTTTCTCCCAAAAAGTCCGAAAAGTTACAAAATTTTGGGTGTTCGTATAATTATGAACCGCACTTTAGAAGGGCTTGAGGACGTATCAAGTGCGCATTTCTTTATATAAACCATCTTTATCGTAATGCAATAGTCAAATCAGAATATGGCTTCTTTATCTTTTTAAGAAAATCTCAATTGTTCTGCCGACTGAATCGTATTATCGTCTGGTATCCTTCGTACCGATGCATGAAGATAATGTCCTTTCGATAACCTTTTCTCTTGCTTTGTGATTGCGCACAGAAGTGGACAAACCTTCGCCTCTAATAGTGCTAGTACGGAGATTTGATGATTAATTCGAAGAGAATTTCTGATTTTTCAAAAACATGGTTGAGAAGCAACATACATTGAAATTAATGCAATTTCGGCCTTCCTGAGTGCGCCTTAAGATCAGAAAATGTCTTCTAAATCAGATTCAAAACTATTCTGCGAATGATAAATTCATGATAAACACTTTAAATGACTAATAAATAGACAACTGTCTTTTACCTGGTATTAGCATGCCTAGGCCTCACAATCACTTTAAACATAAGTTCATTGCCCGCATTCAGGTATTTTTTTCGCAAAATTTTTATTTTCTTATTTCTTGAAAGAACAAATAGTGCAAATGCAAATGCATATTTCAGAAGTACCGTATGTTGAGGCAGCTTCATATCCTTTTTGAGCTGGTTGAACACAAGATTACTTTCTTTAACATCATTTGATCTAATGAGTTATCCTAATTTCACTAGATCAGGCATACATTTCGAAGTGTTTGTGGACCTAGGGGGTTTTCCCGATTTAAAGTGATTATTGTTGAATCGCAAATTTTATTGCCGAACAAACCCCAAGTCCAAGTTCATTGGTAGGCTGCAGACATTGTACAAAGAGAGAGAGAGAGACACGGCATAAAATCCCGTTCAGATCATATGTCTCTCAAAAAAATAATGTGTTTTCATGCTAAGTGGAAAAGCTTGCATTTATTTATGGTAGATTCTCTTTGAAATCGAATTTGCTATCATCTAACTGCTCGAGAATGGGCAGACAATAGTGCTACATAGCAGATGGTATTCAAGTACACCTTTTACTAATCAAAATAACTATAATTATAACTAGAACAATTATATAACTTTATCCACACATACACGACCGACAACTTTACCTGATAGCAAATTTCTAAATCTAAGAATAAGTCACTTGAGCTTAAAAAAATAATCACTCCTTGCAAACCAAAGATTTTATTTCAGTTAGAGTGACGCTATCTTCTGAATGACTAAAAGTGACAAATGAAGGACGTATTTGACACCAAATTTGGTTTGCATTTGCGGATGATGGACGTGAAGGTAAAGGCTGTTGCATGACGAGGGCACACAAGCACTATTAGTTGGGCGGGCGCGAACGCGACGCGCGCGCATCTTCACCGTTGTAAATCCTGCTCCTCATGCGCTTCGCGGCTAATGAAGCCGCTACGCGCCTAAAGATACTGCGCCTTCGTCATGCAGCAGCCTATACCTTTGCATATTTACGACAACGAGTGTAATTATTAACTTTTTTCTCAATAGCTAGAATTGTTACCTGTAGATGCCGGCTAAGCAGCGTCCGATCTTTGCTCACATGATTTTTGAAATTATTCATGATACGTATTCGTGTATCAGTTATTACAAGAAATAAATAATAAGATTGCTTTAGACTTCCGTTCTCTGCTTCAATTTGACTCCCAAAAGTTTCACCCATTGAACGATCTCGCTCCGATCGCAGCTGTCAATGGGCCCTCAAATGCAGTGCCCGGGCAAAACCTCAATCTGCTTTCCTTTATTTGGGCTGATCCGCTACACTGGAAGTCCAACTCGTTACAGAGCTAAAGCGACTAAAACAAGCTCTTCTCAAAAGCTTATGTTTTGCATCTCCACGATTGAAACAATTGCCGCCAAGGCTGGGACCCGGGTAGTCAAAGGCAGTGTCTCACCAAAATTGGGGTAGTCCGAGTCTCCACATATTTTGTTAGAAGACCCCCTGAATAGGCGACTGCATCAAGTCCGACTCGATCAGGTCCCTTTTAGAAATGCCTTCAAATTGACCCTCACCGGGCGATTTGGCCCGCACCGCTCCCGGTTTTCCCCTTACGCGTTTCAACATGTCCCTCCACTTGGCGTCCACCTCAATGGTGCTGCTGCCACTGTGGGAAAGGCTGGGCTGAGGAGGCACAACTCGTCTGCGTTGCTTCCACAGGCTTTTGAAAAACGGGATTTTCGTCCTTTTTTGGGATTTTGGACCCGCACTGAGTTAGACAGGGCCAAAAAGGCTTGCAATATGCAAAAATCTCGACAATCATTTTGGTGAGACACTGCCAAGAACCCTACGACCTAAGCTGTTCTGGCATGCGCGTTCTGAAGCAGAGCAGGAGATCCGCAAGTCCAAAGCTTTCCCCTAAAGCGTAAGTCTTTCACTTTCTCTGAACTTCTCGCTTCCATTCTAACTTTATGGACTCACGCTTGCGCCATTGTCCGAGAACGTCCGTTTCCGAATAGCACTACGATCGCGCATCCCTCAACCTTCCCGAAAACTGCCTTCAAAAAATCTACGCGCGAATAAAATTATTTTGAGCAATTGTTGAATATCAGATTTGTTTCTTCATTTTGTATCTATACCAACTTCTGTCATAAATCCAAAACTGTTCTTGAACCAAATAAAGTCTAGATACTCGATTCACTTGTGGTTCTGTGCCATTGGAGAATGATCACCCTCCGATTTCAAATAATGATTCTTCCGTAGAAAAAGAAGTGTATTCTTTTGCGAACTAGTGAGTGCCATGATGCAGCTCGGTTTTCTGGAGGTTGTGTCATAACCCCACCTTTGCTTACCAGTGCATACCGAAATTCTTCCACCTTTGGATGTAAACTGATTGACTTTTTGAGAGAAACACAATTAATAAAGCACTCGGTTATTTCGCACACTGTAGGCCTTTCCCAAAAAGATGAGCTTTGGCAAACCTTCAAAGGACGCATTGTAAAAGTGCCTTTTTCAGGTTTGATATACAAGGTACAGCATGATAATGTATACGTATCCAGCCAACTTTTTTATAGATACTTCCTACATAGCGATAATGTCTCTCGCAGTATTATACAGTTCATTCCTCAGCTTAAGAGTTTGAATCCGTGAAATGAAGTCGAAGTGCTTCAACAAATAGTGAAAGACCACACGGTACATGGTACCTACAGCTTCGCCATCTCACGATAAAGACGGGAAAAACGAAGTAGGGTTTTGGTAGAAAGTTGAAGCGATCACCTAAGTATCAAATCTACATCCGATCAACAATTTCGCCAAACCTAGAAGCTTGGAGAAATTTGGATTCGAAAAAAGGAGCATATAGCTCAAGACATGCAAGAGAACAGTCAATTTTTGAAGTCCCATGGGTGAAGCTTTCCGTCGATGTTGAAAATCGGGCAATCAAAGTAGTTCTTTTGCCACTGTAGAGGACTGGCTCGGGATATGACCTGAAATCAATGTTGAATTTTGTAAAAAAAATGCAGAGCGTTGTGAAAAATTTTTTTGAATGATCTCCATAGATTGCTATACATTGTTATGGAAGAATGAAACATTGTGGACTATACACAGAATTTTTGCTCTCTAAAGGCTTGAAGATGAGTATGCTAAACTTCACATTGCGCAAAAGACTTCGCGTTCTTCTTTATACAAGCTTTGCAAGATGTATTTGAGCTCCTTCCCACCCTCATCCTTGTTTGTAATGACTGACTAACGACCTGAACTTGGTTCTCCCTTAGTGGCTCTAGATTGATCGCTGCCAACCATGGGAATAGTCGCTGGTAATCAGCTAGAATCGAGATGACGACATCGAAAAAGATGCGCACAAGCCAAAGTAGCACTGCTCCTCCAGCCAAAGTTTCCAATCGAACCAAGGTGTCGATATACTGAATTGAAATATTTTGAGAAACAAATAAATAAACAACATAAGCCCTACACAACACTTGATAATATTGATGTTATGCAACCGTGGTATGTCGTTCTTTCTCACACTTCTCGGACAATTATTGCGAGCACCCGCAGCCCTAACATCGTTTTCTGGCGGTGCGCGAGCGCTAAATTCTTGGACTTCCGCGGTCCTAGATGTATTTGTTTGGCAGTCCGCTTCTCAATGTTTTGCTAGCGAAAGGCCGCGGACTCTAACTGTTTTGTCGAAACACCCGCAACCGAAGAAAAAACCTTTGAGGAGCTCCTGTCTTTACTGGAAGCAGTGCATATTTAGTTTTCTTGCGAGCCCCGCACCTTAACAGAGTTTCTGCATCGGGCGAGCTCCGGCCTTATCGAGAACCTCCCATTCTATCTACGTAAAGCCGCTAGTCTTAATGGGCATCGTGCACATCATTTTCGCGCAGGCCCCGGTCCTTCTAAGCAGCGGCTCAACAGAATCATTCCGGCGAGCTCCGGACCCTACTGAGTGCCACAATTCCTACATGCTGAAAGCAAAAACGTTGCTTGCGTGAGGTGCGCCTGGTTGAGGTACCCTAAAAGCTTTGGTCTTGATTATCTCGTCTCAGCCTATGACCAGCGGTGAAGTCGATCTTCGATAGTTTCCCGGATGACAACAGTTTGAGCTACAGAATCAAATGGTTTGTCGATGTTGCAAGGGTGTGCTGGATATAGCGACAAAAACCAAATTTTGGAATAGTCGTGACCTCTATGCGAAGGTTAGAAAAACGAAATACGAGTTCGAAGAATTTTATAAGATTATTTCAAGATTTTTTTCGCGTTTAGCTGGTGCGTATCGGATCACCCGCGGACGCATATCGCGCATTTATCGGGTGATTCGGGACATCCGCGGATGTTGTTCAGGCACTTATCGGCGAATCCGCGAGTAAACGAGCTTGATTTTGGGAGCCTGAGTGAGTTGACCGGGCCATGCTGGGTATCGGTTCTGGGACAAAAAGCAAAGCGGATATCGTGGTTTAAAAAACACGAAAATTGTGACTGTTTTCTTTTTGGTCGACATTTCCCATTTTTAGAACTTCTTACGTTTAGGGTTTAGGGTCAAAGGGGACTTTGTATGAAATTTTCAATATCAAATGGGACTTCGTTTCGAAATTTTCCTGGTGCGACCTCGTGCCGAACCCCGAGTGGGAGATCCATAGAAAGTTTTCAGAAGGAGATCCAATGTCTATTCAATTTTCCGGGCATTTAGAACTTTTTAGATTATGATTTTCAACATCGCAAGGAACAACCTTGGCGCAAAAGCATTACAACTAGTTTGTAGAGCTTGCTTTGCTCTATCGAACCCTGCCGCTCTCATGCGTTGCTTTCTTGGGGTTTGCCTGGTTGCTGGGCCATAGCAAGCAAATAAAAATCGACATTACTTTTCTTGACAATCTAACACTACCGTTCTGTCAAAGGCTCAAGACCCCTAACGGTGTCTTTAAACGTTTTCAGCGCATTAGCGCGCTGCAAATTTGTTGGTATAACAGCCTTGCTACTACTCAGGGGTTCGCTCCAGTCGACATAAGCCTAAAGCCTCCGTTCGTACGGCAAACAGCTGGAGCGCCGTCTTAGCGGCAGGCAATGTTACCGTGCGAACGGCCTGCAATACAAGTGCTCGAGCGAGCGGCCAGCAATGCATCCGTCTTATCGGTCGGCAATACCTGCTGCCGTGCAAGCGGCGGACAATGACCTCTATCTCCTGCTCACCATTTTTACACATTGTGAGCTCAAACGGTACCTGCGTGAGATACGACGCAGCGTTTAGGCTGGCTAAGAGTTGACATATTTTGTTATCGGCATTTTCCTTCCCCAGCAAGGCTGGAATGAATCTGTGTGAAGCCACAGCCCTCAAGAGTGATGGTGTGGGCTTCACCATGGAAAGTCTGGCCTTGCTGCAGGCATCGTTCGATCTTCTCAGAATGTAAAAAGGACCAACATATCCAAGAAAAATGGTCAGGAATCCCGTATAGATCTACTCCAACAGCAAGCGAGCGGTCGACCTTCCCCGCACACGCGGCCAGCGTTAGGAACCGTGCGGGCGCCCCACTTAACCGTGCCAACGGCCCTTGACGACCGTACAATCGCACACACCTACGAGCGATTGTAGGGTCATCGTTGGCCGCCCGCACGGCGCGAGTTCCTGAGTAGCTAATCTGCCTATCAAATGAAGAAAAAGTTATTTGGGATACGGATCATATGCGGAAAGAGCAGTTGCCGAAATCCCCATTTTTACTCTTAAAAATAATGGATCGAGTGATTGATATGACCACTAAATTGCAGTCTGCCTTTGTACAACCGCCAAAAATACGTTGACTAAAATTTCATAACGCAAAACAGCTAAAACCTAAGATTACCCAAGGCGAGGGAGAGACTGTAACTGTCAAAAAGCCAGATTTTTTAATGCAAAAATTTCTTTCCCCGTCCACTACGTAATGAACTTTCGTTTCTTGACACTCGTTTGTTTCCGTAAAAAGATCCACTTCACCAGCAAGGGAAACGGACGACAATAGTCAAGTGGTGCCCGTTTTGCGAGAATTCGCTGACCTTGTCACTTATTTTTTTGGGATCTATAAAAAAAGGTCCTCACCCCAACAACATCGCAATTCTGTTGAATTGAGCTTCGAATCGTGTTGTAAAGCCAAACGTTGTGTAAAATTATGCATGCTCCGATAAGGATTAAAGTAGAGATGAGTGCGTACAGACTGAGGTGTCCGCCAAAGTAGAAGAATTTAAACATTTTCTTCTTTGTAATTTCAGGTTCGTTGTGCATTCTAAATTGTTGTTGAATAAATAAAGATGAATACACTAAGTTAAAAACGCTTACTTCTCGCTGTACGCAATTGATTTCAGCTTAAAAAGGACGGCACAGTAGCAGCCTGGTACGATGAGCAGACCAGCAGCAATCACACAAATCGCAACTATCAACAAAGGACGTTCGCAATTCGCGTAGGTACAAACTGTAACATGAAAATAAGCAATGATATCTAAGTTTCTGTAGCTCCTATACGCTGAAATTTTATCTTCTCTTTTCTCTCCTCAGCTCTCCACCAAAAAAAAGTTCAACTGACCATCCTTGTTCTTTGACGGGTCCAAAACCACAGTTGTGAGAGGTGAGAAAGCAGCCGCATATAGTATGGCTACTAGCCAAATAAGAGCTACAGCAGTGCTAACACGACGAATAGTGCACAGGGTTTGGAAGCCATATGGGCGAGTCACACTCAACTGGAATTTAGCTTAGAGTCACAACAGCAGCATTTTGTGAGGAATGCTTACAAACATCACAACTTGTCTGACTATGATTTCTTTTACAATAGTTATTTTTGTAAAGTTATAGGGTGACACGGAAGTTCTATAGCACCAGAAAAAAAATTCAATCACTTCTTGCTTTCTCAACGCATTTGCCTGCTTTTATCGTTTGAGTAAGCGGCCACTTTTGTAATAGCTCTTAGCAAGCTTCTTGATCCTTACACATCACTGGTAAAAATCATTCAAATTTGATTCCCCTATCTTTGTTTGTAAAAAAAGTATACTACCTTCCTTTTCCGGATGAGGTTTGTGCTCCGCACGCTTTTATGAAAACTTGTGATTTTCGGAAAAAAGTCGGATATGCTGTTTTGTACTGCTAGCAATAATCATGGCTTCTCAAGGAAAGTACGATTTGCACAAGCTTAGTTCAATTAGGAAAGGCTTTCTCGATTTTTACTGCAATTTGATTTTCACGACCAACAGAAAAATCGAAATTTAAGTGATTTTTTTTCTACCGCATCTATTCATGCAATGTATATGCCAGCATATATGCCAGAGAAAGCGGTCAAAGGCTATAAAGAGCATGATTTACTCTTTCCAACAAAATCAGCTAACATATTTTTGTGAAAAGCATGATCCACTCTTGCAAATAATGACAGCTAGCAAATTCCCTGCTGAGAAAACAGGAAGTTATAACGAAAAAGGTGCAACATTTCGTGTCGACAATAAAAAATTGGCTATTCAAATATACCTGTCTAAGAACGATCGTGAGAAGATGTGACAAACTCAGATGAATGAATCCGAAAGTGGCTGCGCAGAGGAATAGAGCGAGGATCGCGTAAGACGCGGAATTCTCGTTGGCCATAAATGAAGCAGCACAGAACAACGAGCACGAGAACACATCGGCGACTGTGCGACTGAGCACAACACTGAAAACATGTAGAAAATGTTGGGGAATCTTGCAGCAGATTGTTTCCATTTTTTTGTAGCCGAAATGACCATCTGCACTCAAAAGTCACGGAAATTTAGCGCGCAGTTTTTTTGCTCTCATATGTTTGCCAAGTACCGCGCGGGTCAAGCCAACTCAGTGAGCACTTGAAGTTGGGATGAACTTCCGGGTGGCTAGCAATCGCCTAAAGAACTAATTCATACCTGTATTTTCTGGATGGAATTCGACGCTTGATTAAGGCAAAAATGATCAGAATACAGAGAAATAAACATGAAAGAAAAGCGACGATAGAAAATGCTGGAACGACGCTGAGGATGGCTGTCGTAGCCTAAAGAGGATTGTATCAAAGAGTTAAGGATTAATAACAAGTGTTTGAGGCAAGAGCTACTTTTCTAACCAAAACCTGTATTTTGACATAGTATGATTTCACACAACTATACGGCAAAGCTTGATTTTTTTATCTAGCATTTTCGGCTCAGTTCACATCATTCTCTATCACTGCAACACGAAACCAAATAAAATCTCTATGTTTTTTGGCCGAATTTTGATTAGCTTCATTGAAGGCAGCGTCCAGGCAAATCTGGACCTATGGGACTCTCACTGGAGAGTCGGCACATCAGTTTCGCGTGGATCCTCGCGCGAAAGCGCAACGAATCCAAGCGAATACGCTCACGGGGCATAGTTTGGAGCCCAATATCTTAGCTGTGAGTGCACTATTTGAACTGCCTCTTGGGCAGACTTTTATTTAGGGCCTCAAGATTACTCTCCACGTGAGAGCCCCATAGGTCCAGATTTGCCTGGACGCTACCTTTAAGGCTGAGTACGGACGAGTTCCTCACTAAATATGCAGCTTTACTAAAGGAACAGCCTGCACCACACAGCGCAGAACAATTTGAAAAATCTCTGCGTTTTCGTGATCCAGCACAGCATGCTTGCGATGACTCACGTTTCGCTGAAGATAAGCAAATAATAATGACTTTGTGCAGTTTCCAATTTAAAGGAATGACTTCTATGTCGCATATTGAGTCAGTTAGGTCATATGATGCGGGCCACACACTTCAACTTGCTAATCCCACCACAAAAGTAGTTATTTCATTTATATTTTCCTCACAACCTAGCTATTGGCGAAGAGAGTTTGAAGAACTTTTTAGATCTCTCTTTTTGCGAACTTGAGCTCGAACTTGAATAAATGGTTGCTGTTCACATTTCATGTTTCAAGACAAATATATTCATTGCACTAGCCACTAGATGCAAGCAAATGCTTTGTGAATGTGTTTCCAATTTTTTGGGAATTTGGAGTAGCTGTGAGGGGAAAACATGAGAAAATAAAGTTATTCAGAAAATTTCTGATTCGAGAAGACGTGGTCGTTCGATGACGAAATCGTCATGGTAACCAAGTAGGATCACCATTACGCAATCGTACGAGCGCAACAGTGTGATTGAACATGTATTAAAATGGAAGTATATTTACAGTATTCGGTTGTTGTAAAAAGCTGTGGGCAGGGCAGGGCTTGGCACGAGGTGGCTTTTCAAAAATGCAAAAGGCAAAGTTCTCCCGATTTTCGTAAAATTTTACGAAGTCCCCTTTCATCCTTATCGGAAAGATCCGAGTCGACCGATATCCTGCTTGCTTATGAGCCACCCGTGCCAAGCCCTGGCTGTGCGGCACAGCGCGAAACGTGAAGTTGGACCAATTGCCTCTAGCTTTTCAGTTACATCTTTGAGAATCTTTGGAAATTTCGCTCGCAACTGTTTTAAGATCGTAAATTGTACCGTGCAGAGTAACTACCGAAAAAGCATATACAGTTGTTTATCATGATTTCGTAAAAATCCACAAAGATAGCTCTGGACTTACCCTGTCGATCTTCTGCTTCCTCAATACAGCATCGCGTAGCTCTGCATGATCCAAATTCAGTGCGCAGTTCCGCGCTAGTGTTTCGAATGAAGTCATCACAAGCACATGCTACAGTTGACAATATAACGGGAGTTATGCTGGATGGTCAGCTCAGTCTAGGTGCTGAGTGTGACAGATGAAGAGGATCATTTGACAGCTCGTCACGGTCAAACGCGGGGACATGGAGTGAGTGAGAGCGATTTGGGAAACGCTTTATTATGCAAATCTTCATGCGTGTAAAACTAGTAAAAGTGCGTTGGAAATAAACAGCGCGGCAACAAAGTTGGAAACCCTCTGAAAGTTCTTTGTCCTACCGGAAATTAAGCGAGCCAGTGAACAACGAACGAATAGGAACCGCTGGCTCTTAGAACAGTGAGTGGACATCGGTCGACACCGACGACAGCGCTGGGCTGACGCACGAGAGTCAAAAAGTAAATAAGAAAACGCCCGAGACGAGTGAACGCAAACATTTCGCGAACCATAGCGGGACAAAATGCGATCCTACCTCAGCCCTAGATTAATGCGATCACGACAGGTACGTACTGACAGCTCAAAATGAAGCTTTTCAGTGGACGTAAAGTACATTTCGGACTCCATTCATAGGAATGGACTCAAAAAAATCTTCTCGAAGGAGCAGAAGAGTCATTGCCGTCTGGAAAAACGAATTGCTGCGGGCCACAACCCTGAAATTTCAGGAGAAGGGGCGGCAGCAACGATCTCGTTAATTTATAAGGTTTATTTAAAGTTCTTGAAAATTTTACTAATTACTCAGAAACATAAACAACACATTTGCACATTTTTATAAGTAATTTAAGTATCTTTCAAGAAATTCGCGTCCCCCTCTTTAGGAAAAGGCTCCACTCCTAACGCCCCCTCCTCTCCTCCCCTCCCCCCCCCCCCCACCCCGTCCCTCGTCGTTGCACATGAAGGGCAACCTTGATCTAATATGTCGGGTCCAAAAATTTCTGCGTGATCGCAAGAAACTCCAACAAATTTCTAATTTCGGTTTATTCATTCTCGGCGGTTTATTACATTACAAAAACTATAGTGATCTCAAATAATTCGGCAATAAGATATACGTACTTCGGAATCGTTTCACTGAGAAGGTCCACCACTTCTTCTTGCCAGATGCTGCTCGAGCGATCGCGGGTTCGGCGGCTTCGCTGAGACTCCAGTCACCAAACATAATCATGTCTTTGTATCCAAAGAAGGAAGACGGGCAAACATTTTTAGTCTCATTCTAGGGGAGAGTTCCTTCCTAGTGACTCTGGATGCCCGTTATGAGAACTATGTACTCAGGAAAAGTCCATTATCCCCTCCCCCTTTATACTTGTTTTACTGAGGAAGGCGATTTTCTATGGTAAGCAGTAAGCTATTGTTGCTCTAACTCCACGTGCCTAATATTCTCTAGGTTGTTCTCTTCCAGATATGCTCAATAGATAATCAGTGATTTAATCAACCATGACGTTTTTGTCTATATCCTCCCAGAATCTTGCTTTAGAGCGTCATTTGCGACTCCACGCCATTCTCTCAGCTAGTTTTCAAGCTAAATCAGCGTAATTTCTCAGGTGCCTAGCTACCCCGCGTGAAAGTGAATCTATGGCCTGTAGTAAAGCTCGATCAATTCAGGTGAACTGAACTTATCCCATCAGTTCACCTCACGTCAGGTGAACTGATGACCGCCCACCCTCCCATGCTATAAGAATGGCGAGTGAACTGATAGTTGACCATCTGCCCACCTGCTGCAGTCAACTCTTCCACATCAGTTCACGTTCAAGCGACCTGAACGTGAACTGATGTTAGAGTGAATAGTGTGTAAAAGAGGAGACGCAGACAAGACTCCCGTAAGTTGCTCCTGAGCAACTTACGATACACATCAGTCAGGCTAAAAATGCAGACAAAATCGGCGCAAAACTGCACAACCAGCGCTCGAAAAGGAGAGGATCAATGAACAGCTGATTTTGGCGAGGATAACAAAAAACAAATTCTTCTCTTTTTTGTAAACCTTACTGGTTTTTTCTTCACTAGCTATCCAATACAAGAACTCATTTATTCATTTCATTAAATTCACGCTGCAATCATTTCGTTTTTTCATAGAATTTTCGTCACAAATTGTGTTTTTGTTTTATACGTGCATTTGCTAGGCGAAATTCTTGACAGCGGTCATCACCGATTGCGTAGTGATGAGATCAACGCCGGTCCGCGTCGAGAGAGATGCCCTGATGGGGGGTTTACTACGGGCCTATATGTAGTATCTGGATGTTTCAATACGAGAAAAGCAACAAAATGAAAGCAATCTGCCGCATAAACCCAACATCTTGAGAAATAAGTGGAAGTTCTTGAAAGATTGGGTCAGGGTAGATAGGCAAAGATACCACTTTGTTGTGTTGGAACTATCTGAGTTTATCACTGCACGGCTGTGGTCAATCAAAAAAGTAAACATATGTCTTGTCTACATAAAAGCATGCAGTTGAAAAGTGATTCAAGGTCTCTTCATAAAGGCACCAGTCGGCAAGTAAGCACGGCGGATTGAAATTGGCACCAAAGCACTTTTCTAGAAATATCATTCCCTACTGTCAAATAATCTTCTCATGCGACAATTTAGCTCTCGACACATCCGTGTTATTCAGCCGCTTCGCTGCATGTACGTCAAAAGGCGCGATTTTCATTGATAAACAGATAAACACCTATAGCACATGTAGTGTTTTATAACGTTCTAGAAGTATTTAGAGTTTCCAAGATGATATAAGAGGTAGGGTGCTAACAAACCTATTATAATAGCTCAAAAAGGATTCAAGATAAAAATTCATGAGTCATAACTCATGAAAATGCAAATGATAGCATAAATGTAATATTTCGATCAGCTTCCCAGCTAAAGATGTCAAATCTAGTATGTGGTAACCTAGACAAGCTAATAGGCCAACTTACTTTGTTTAATTCTTTCTGGAAAGTCGCATAACCTTAACGCACATTGGCATCTGTCAAATTATAAACATTCTAAGGAGACCTTTATATTCTCTATGAGAAACAATGTTTGCATGCATTGCTATTCAAAGGAGCTTAATTACAGTCGAGTAGAAAGAAATGCCTGCAGTATGAAACAACTGGCAAGAACAGTTGAGTTCATCAAAGTGAGGGCTGCGACTACTGTGCTTTTTGATTAGTTATGCTTTTTTCTGTTATTCTGTGAACTACAGGGTGTCCCAAAAGTATGTATACATGTTCAATCGTCAATATCTCTTCTCCTAAGAAGATTTTTGCCTACCTTTGAGTGCCAATTTGTAGAGCTGGCCTCAGCTTAAATTAAATTTACAGTATAGAGCGAATCACCGTTCGCTCATCATTACTATAGGATTACGGTAGGAACTTTTACTTTGCAGCGCCCTACTGGATTGGTAGTGTTTCGGCATTTTTTTAAGGAAATCTGAAAAGTGGTGTGCTGGGATATTCAAGCGCGCTGAATTCATGACTCAAATTTTTACGAGTTCATAAAGCTTCTCAAATGGTGTAATCACGATTTTAGGTGACATTGTAAAAAAAAAGTATTCGATTTACGTGGCATAACTTATGAAGGAGGCATTGCGGTAAAGAGCAAAGTTTATTTAGTTTTAGCAGCTTTGACTAGCCTAGTCTAAGAGTTTTCTGGTTGTTTGGTTTCCTCTAGGAGGCGAAATAGGGCCCGCTTTGAATCATTCTCAAAGTTCCTACCGTAATCTTACAGCAATGAAGAGAGACCGTGATCCTCTCCATACCGCGCAAATCTAATAAGATGAAGTCATCGTACATATTCGGTGTTGAGAAAGTTTAGACGAAAATTCCAGAGAAGATCTTTACTTTGACTGCAATTCAAATATATTTAGCGCCTGAATACTCGTCCGCGCTTGTCAAAATAGGGTGCCCAGGCTGGGGCTTTCGGGTTTCGCGCAACTTGAAATTCAGACAAATATGACAAAATATGAAATTCGAAATTTGCCAGGACGCTGTCCTTATGAACAGGATTTTTGATGCTATCACAATTCTTACAGGTCTTGTTATCAGAAAGAAAAAATTTGCAAACTAAACATTTTTAGGATGCAAGCCTTCCGAACCCATCGACACTATTTTTGTAGTATTTTCTGCTAATCTTTTCCGTTTGCACACTGATGTTTGTAGATAAACTCGCTTTCTGATTCGCGTTTTGAGAAAGACTTCGAGCCCAATTTCGTGTCCTACTTTTGGTACGAAAATACAGATACCTCTAGTGTAGTGTTTAGTAACACAGCCACACTGCCGATTTAGATTTTTTTTTGATTCGAATATCAGTCGAACGATCATGTCTAGGGTTTCACAGTTTCCTTGGATCTGTAGGTACAAGACAAGCATTTGAATATCCATGATTTCAGTCACTAGCAAACTGATTGTTGTGATTGTTGCACGTTCAGCCATCGCAAGTGAACGTGTACTGCGCGTCCAATCCCCTTCCATCGCCAGCTCACTTATTTCCAACAATTTTGGCATCGTCTCTTTTGGGTGGAGTGTCTATATCTTTTTACAAGAAATCTGACAGGAGCAAACCGACTTGTACAAAAAATTCGGTGATAAAAGTAACTGTCGATAGAACGATAGCTGCTAGGATAACAACGAAAATTCCACCTATATCATGAATGTCCATCCCGTCTTTGTAATTTTTCTCCGCACAAGTTACCTGAATCTATCCTGAGATAACTGTGATAAATAGAGTAAAGGCTCCAAAACTGATGCATTTCAATGCCATCTAACATACAATACTGCTCAGAGTATCTACAAATACATGTATCCTATCTAGCAGAAGGTCTTAAGAAAGATTTTTATTGGATTCGTTTTGCAATATGTCAAATGAGGCCTTCCATGTATCTGTCTCAACCTTGCATAGCGATTCTCTTTGATAATCTCCAATGATCATATTTAATACAACAATCAAGTTTATGTTCCCGAGGCTTATCATAAGATTACAATAAGATTGCAGTAGGAATACGGAATTTTAAGTTGCAAAAGTCCGTTCGCCAGTTTTCAAAAAAAATCATAACGTCCTTCCGACT